ACGTTTGCCCACTGACAAAGAAATGATCAGTCTATAATTTTAATGGTAGGTTTATTTGAACAGTGAGAGACAGAATAACAACAACAAAATCCAGAAAAACGCATGTCAAAAATGTTATAAATTGACTTGCATTTTAATGAGGGAAATAAGTATTTGACCCCTCTGCAAAATATGACTTAGTACTTGGTGGCAAAATCCTTGTTGGCAATCACAGAGGTCAGACGTTTCTTTTAGTTGGCCACCAGGTTTGCACACATCTCAGAAGGGATTTTGTCCCACTCCTCTTGGCAGATCTTCTCCAAGTCATTAAGGTTTCGAGGATGACGTTTGGCAACTCGAACCTTCAGCTCCCTCCACAGATTTTCTATGGGATTAAGGTCTGGAGACTGGCTAGACCACTCCAGGACCTTAATGTACTCCTTCTTGAGCCACTCCTTTGCTGCCTTGGCCGTGTGTTTTGGGTCATTGTGATGCTGGAATACCCATACACGACCCATTTTCAATGCCCTGGCTGAGGGAAGGAGGTTCTCACCCAAGATTTGACGGTACATGGCCCCGTCCATCCTCCCTTTGATGCAGTGAAGTTGTCCTGTCCCCTTAGCAGAAAAACACCCCCAAAGCATGTTTCCATCTCCATGTTTGACGGTGGGGATGGTGTTCCTGGGGTCATAGGCAGCATTCCTCCTCCTCCAAACACGGCGAGTTGAGTTGATGCCAAAGAGCTCCATTTTGGTCTCATCTGACCACAACACTTTCACCCAGTTGTCCTCTGAATCATTCAGATGTTCATTGGCAAACTTCAGAAGGGCATGTATATGTGCTTTCTTGAGCAGGGGGACCTTGTGGGTGCTGCAGGATTTCAGTCCTTCACGGCGTAATGTGTTACCAATTGTTTTCTTGGTGACTATGGTCCCAGCTGCCTTGAGATCATTGACAAGATCCTCCCGTGTAGTTCTGGGTGATTCCTCACCGTTCTCATGATCATTGCAACTCCACGAGGTGAGATCTTGTATGGAGCCCCAGGCTGAGGGATATTGACAGTTATTTTGTGTTTCTTCCATTTGCGAATAATCGTACCAACTGTTGTCACCTTCTCATCAAGCAATGGTCTTGTAGCCCATTCCAGTCTTGTGTAGGTCTACAATCTTGTCCCTGACATCCTTGGAGAGCTCTGTGGTCTTGGCCATGGTGGAGAGTTTGGAATCTGATTGATTGCTTCTGTGAACAGGTGTCTTTTATACAGGTGACAAGCTGAGATTAGGAGCACACCCTTTAAGAGTGTGCTCCTAATCTCAGCTCGTTACCTGTATAAAAGACACCTGGGAGCCAGAAATCTTTCTGATTGAGAGGGGGTCAAATACTTATTTCCCTCATTAAAATGAAAATCAATTTATAACATTTTTGACATGAGTTTTTCTGGATTGTTGTTGTTATTCTGTCTCTCACTGTTCAAATAAACCTACCATTAAAATTATAGACTGATAATTTCTTTGTCAGTGGACAAACGTACAAAATCAGCAGGGGATCAAATACTTTATTCCCTCACTGTAGGAGACAGAACAGGCTAGCAGTAGAGTAGAGACAAGCAGAGAGAAGCAGAGAGAAGCAGAGACAAGCAGAGAGAGAGACAGAGACAAGCAGAGACGAGCAGAGAGAAGCAGAGACAAGCAGAGACAAGCAGAGATGAGCAGAGACGAGCAGAGACAAGCAGAAACAGGCAGAGATGGAGTGGGACAGAGACAGACAGAGACAGCGGGAGAGAGACAGAGATACAGCGTGAGACAGAGAGAGACAAAGACAGCAGAAGAGAGACAGAGATACAGCGTGAGACAGAGAGAGACAGAGACAGCAGAAGAGAGACAGAGATACAGCGAGAGACAGAGACATCGAGTGACGGAGAGAGACGGAGACAGCGAGCGATGGAGGGAGACAGGGACAGCGAGCGACGGAGAGAGACAGGGACAGCGAGCGACGGAGAGAGACAGATACAGTGTGAGACAGAGACGGAGAGAGACCGAGACAGCGAGTGACGAAGAGAGACAGAGACAGCGAGCGATGGAGGGAGACAGGGACAGCGAGCAACGGAGACAGATACAGCGTGAGACAGAGACGGAGAGAGACCGAGGCAGCGGGAGAGAGACAGAGATACAGCGAGAGACAGACATCAAGTGACAGAGAGAGACAGAGACAGCGAGTGACAAAGAGAGGCAGGGACGATGCAGAGGGACAGTGAGGGATAGGGGAGGAAGCGGAGTGAGCGAGACGGGCGGAGCGCGGCGAGCGAGCTGCGGCTAAGCGGAATGACGGAGTCACAGACGTGATGTGAAGAGTCACAGACGTGATGTGAAGAGTCACAGACGTGACGTGAAGAGTCACAGACGTGACGTGAAGAGTCACAGACGTGATGTGAAGAGTCACAGACGTGACGTGAAGAGTCACAGACGTGACGTGAAGAGTTGTAATAAAAGTGGTGTCGGAGAAAACAAGAAAGTTGTTCGCGTCAAGTCGACCACTACACATGTATACATTTGAAAATGTGATTTATAACTTTGATCCTTACCCGTATATCCATAGTTAAATTTTAACGTGCAATTTGAGGGACCGTGTGTTGTCTTGTTGTGGTCTAGGACTGATTTTGTTGTTGTTTTGTTGCCTTGCACCAAGCTTGCATTTAGTCTAGGGAAATTGGTGGGAATGTATGCACTTATGTAATGTGTACTTACATACTTAAAATGTATTTATTTTTCGTGACTTGCTTACATTTTAGATACTTTGCACCCCGATCCTTTTTCGTATTCTTTGCTGTTGCAACTCGCTGACCCGCCCCTATTGGACATCTGTGAAAAAGAGCTTTATAGTTCATTGGATTCCTCCAGGATACATAAAGATTCCGATTCTGAAGATGAGAGGATGTGAAGGCATAGTTTGGGAAATCACAACTTTTTAAAATTAAGAACCCTATATTATTATATTACAATTTTCATTCGGTAGCTCTATGACTGAATATCTGTCCAAGTATATGGAAGACAGCTTGCGTTACTGTTACCTCGCCATTACTGGTTGATCAGTCATCATCAGCCATGATTCATCCACTGTTGGATCACGGCCTCCCCAAATTCACCGTAATTTCTCATGGCCGTGCTACATAACAACCGACTTAGCTCTGCTGCATCTTCGTGGTGTACCTCCTCTGGGCGTGTTACCCCCTTTGGTTTCTGCTCAATTGTTATTCTTTCCCACCAGGCATCATCAAAAGCAGTGACGCTTACTTTTCTTCAGTGAAAAGTTAAACCCGCGTATGTTCTCTAATCCACGTGTTCCTCTTTCGGTTTCTCAGTGAAATCCCAAGCTTTCATCTCTCCATGCTTCTTTGCGCATTTTTGAGATTTTGTTTAATCTTTTTGCGTCAGTGTCCATGTTTTTTTTTAATCCATATAGTCATAGCTGGTAATATGCAATGATTTAACTTTAGCTGAACAATTAGACATCTGTTGGAGGGACACAACTGGAAAACACAGCAGAATATGTACATAAAGGGCAGTGATTGAAGGCGAAACAAGTTAAAAACATTATGAAATAAAGAGGCGGATTCAGAGCAGATTGGAGCGCTTTTAGAAAGCTGAACTTGGTAATGAAAAGCAACACACCAACGTGCCTAACGGCCTCGTCATACAGTGCGTGCCGTTAAATAATCCGGGCTGTAAGCCTGCAATCAGTTTTATCTGTGAATCTGGTTGTGGCTGCGCATTGTAAAATCCGAATTGATGATGTGTATCCACATACGCATATGATTACAGCTGTACGAATGATGGGAGTTTGACTTGATTATTTGCTAGAGTGAATGTTGACAAAGGCTTGAAATGCAATACGTTTGTATTCGACGAGAGCATCTTCCTCTCACCGCTGAACTGTGCGCCTGTGTACCAGGTGCACAGGGTCTGTAAGTGTACATTTCTAAATTGTTCTGTAAGTGCCCAGTCAATATCACTAAGTGCTGTCCATAATGAAAAACTCTCCTTTTCACCCTAAACCAATTCTTCTAGACCTTCCGGTAAGATAAGTGGACGGCTCACTTTATACTACTCTGCATAGTGGATGTGGGTTAATGAGGCTGAAATTGCATTGTGCAGCATTTGATAGGAAGGGTAAACTGTCTTATTGTTCACATAGGCGGTTAAACCCTGTTAAGCACAGGCCCTAGATTTGGCATTAGCAAAGAGCGTAAGAGGCGATGTGTCTGCCCTCTCAAATAAGCAATGAAGGAATGTTCTTCAACGTTGGCAGCCCTAAGCCAGCAGTGGAAATGCCATGCAGGACAACCCATAATTGGCATGCCACTTCGTGATAGTACATTTGCTAAGGCAAGAAGAATAGTATAATGTTGTAATTCAGAATTTACAAAGTACATCCATATATACGTTTCATTAAGGTTGTATGACGGCAGTTGGCCCTGACAATCTTGAAGAGTGAGCGGTGATGATGGCTTGATTCATGCTCAGTTTGTATTGGACATGAGGAGTGCTTCCAGATCCCTAATTAGAATTTAACCTTGTGATATTCTGACCGTGCGTTGAGCATTCTAACCACAGCGTCACCACTCCGTAATTCTAAAAGCAACCCGATTGCGACACTCAAATAACAGGCAGCTCGGCCTCCTCCTTAAACAAGGCAAATAATAATAATAAAAAGTAGTTTTTCTTATCCAGGAAAGCTTTCGTGAGTGTCAAGACTCCTCTGCTGAAGGACACTGCTTGGGGTGTGTGGCTCATTCCCCTTTGAGTACTTTTCGTGTGCAGGTGATGGAACAGCATAGCCGAGAGAACACCAATGCACATCATGTTAGGACAATGCTCAAAATCCACATACACACAGATAGGCCCGCACCGTACTTGCTGTAATTCCACAGCTGCAGCACGTACACATCGATGCCCGGGGCTGCTCATGCGCGGAGCCCCGTTTCTGTGGGGGGGGGGGGCTGGCGTGAGAGCGGGAGACCTCACCGGTGCGGTAGCCAAGGCCCTCGGCGTGGACGCGCTTGGCCAGGAACTGCCCCTCCACAAGCGCCCGCACCTCCACGTCATCTGCAAACGCCTCCACCTGTAGAGGCGCGCACAGCGGGGGCATGGCACCGTCGAGAGAGAGCGACCGCGAAAAGCCAATCCAACTGTCTGACATCTGCGCGGGGCAGCCGTCCCCATTCGATTTCCAAACATCCTCCACCATGCACTGGCACAGGATACAAAGTGTGTGTGGTTTTCCAGCCAAGACCGAGAAAAAATATGTTACGGAATAAACACTGTGGTGAAGAGAATCTGGGCCAAGTGGCATTCGTGGATAAACTCCTGCTGCACACTGCAAGCCTCACTGGACTTAATACACACACACTCTATTCACTTGTCAAAAAAAACACTCTACTAGCTCAGGGTTACCAATGGAGATGAGTAACACTCCATGTGGGATTTGACTTAGTTATTTGACATGATTCGTCGCAGCCTAAATATATCTTATACCTTCAATAATAACATTGAATATAAAAAAACCAGTAAACGCATTCATGTGCATATAAGAATAGATTTTACCCTTTCTGGCAATAAAACAGTTGCGTTAAGATGTGAGAACATCAAACAGAAACCTTTAGCAAGGAATCATGTCTGCATTAACCACGTATACTTGTGGTGAACATGCAAACAACCAGAGCATGTTTTTGTTTGTTTGTATGTTCACCACAAGTATATGTGTTTTAATGCAGACACGATTCCTTTGCAAGAAGATTTCTGTTTGGTGTTTTAACATCTCAACACAAACTGTTTTATTGCCAGAAAGGGCAAAACCTATTCTTACATTTTTAGACTGGCAAAGGGAGGTCCCATGATGTATTCATGTGCTTCGATAAGCATTGGATTGATCTTCTCCTTTTCTTGGCTGCGTACTTAACGCAGAGACGCGGAGAATTAATACGCGCAGAGACGGTGTGACCCAGAAAGGGTAAAGTTCGCAGGTGCAAACCCTTGCAGCGTCAGTGGCAATGAGGCATAACCAGCAGTTGTGTTGTTTGTGACATCTCATTCCTGCAGCCCAGCCACAACGGCTGATTTCCAGGCTGTTAAAAAAAAAAATACACAGTCTAGAAAACTCTGACGTGCTCCAGATTCTAGATTTGAAGCTTTCGTGACTGCAAGGATCCATACTCTTTGGTTCTATTCGGTAAAGTCACGTAGGTGCTCCAGATCTCCGAAACTGCGCGTGAACCCCCCACCCCGCCACCGAAATTGCGACAGTACCAACGCACAGAGCACTCTGACCATTCGACATGTTGTGTACCGATAAGATTTAGATGAAGTATAAATGACTGCAGTGGAGAGAAATGGGGACGAGGTCGCGGATGTACGCGCCGGGGCGGCGATCCACGGTAGCAGCCAGGGCTCTGTGACAGGTGGCCTCGGGCACTTTACTCCGTAAAGAATTTGGAGGAGCTGTCGAATGCGAAGCAATAAGTGGCACGCTCGAGATCATATCATTATTGCAATATCAGGTTTTTAAAAATTTGTTTCAAATGATAAACCATCTGACGAGCCATTACCAAAGTGAAGAGCAGGAATGGGGCTTGTATTTTTAGAAGTGCCTCTCTTATTAATGTGCACGTCACAGTAAACTATAAGTCACTCTAACTTGACGTTCCAAAAATAAATCCACTCTCTGTTCAGATATATTGCCTCACATGCGTAGCTTTTCTTAGGGCACATTGGTCTCCTCCCACACATAAAAATAGTAAATTGCTTAAGTGGTCAAATCTTCCAAACAGGACAAATCTAAATAAAGGATAATTTATCCTACAGTAGTGACAAACAGTGGTGTTGCTCAGTGATTAGCGATTTGCTCTATTTATAAAATTACCCGAGTTCGATTCCCAGCCACAGCCAGCATTAGTGGTGAGTGGTATCTGAACCAACACTCCCAAGGACCCAATTCGCCATCCTGCACGTTGTGAGGAGGTCTTCATCCAGCAGTGAACAGACAAAAAGGCTCTACGTAACTATTACTTTACTACTCCGGTAAAGTCCCTCGATGCCAGGCTAATTGGGGTGGAGAATCTTTCTGGTTATGGGAGATATCCTGGCATACTACAAATAATTAATCAAATATTGCATAACAGGCAATGACAATTACATTTGCAGATAACGAATACGTGGAGCGATACCCGCATCTCTGTATGTTTATCTATCTCCGTGCGTTTCTCTTCACCTCAGTGTGTGCTTATGCGAACATGCACACATATTTGATTATGAAACAATTCTTGAATAAGTTAAAACTGAAGACCAAAATCCCGTCTAGCGATCTTCAAACCTGAGTGGAAACATTTATTTACATTCGATTCCCCGATACACAAGCTGCTACATAGCCAACAGCATGTTAATTCATGTGCGAGTGTGCGAATTATCGGCAAGCGAGGCTGCATTGGCTGCGTCATGTAGCCTGCATGCCTAGCCACAGCATGCCCAAGCAGCTTCTCGTTCAGCCGCATAGATGGGGCTAAACGGGGGAGTGGCACGGGCTAGAGAAGAGATGGAATGATGTGTTACAGAAGGATGTGGAGCTGATTGGACTGGTACAAGCAGTATCAAGATCAGCCTCTGTGGAGGAGGTTCATGAAGGGTACTACTGTGAAGTTGGAAGCAGTCGCCATTCAACAACAATGAAGGGCATAGAAGTGACACTCACAACAACGAGCAGAGTGCCGGGTGGCTAAAACGCAGAAAGTTGGCATAGTGGTGAGCACAGTTGGTACATTTGCCAGTCATCTCAGTCAGTCAACTCAAGGCACTTGGGTCTGTTCCATGACCTCCTGCCAGCAGGCCTTCGACACTTCATGTAGCCTCAAAATGCACCTAGCATGGAACAAGCGCCGTGGTGACGTCACTGCCACTAAGTGGTGAACGGCCATTATCGATGTTATCCAATGTGCACATAAGGTTCAGGTTATTGTCGAGTTGCTTAAATCCGTCTCCCTGGCTCGTGGATCTGCCAACGCCCGCAGGCATTGTCCATGTTCGTAAACGAGCATTAGGCAAGCGCGCTGGCTGCTGCCAACCCTGAAAGTGCACGCGGCTGGCCACTAACAAGGAGAGACATTTGCTGTAACTGTTGGTGGTGGCCACAACTGTGCGTGCCGCGCTCGATCCGGACAAGAACGCACCTTCTCGTCATCGGTATTGAAGCGGTGAATGCCCACCGCCGGTGGCGTAATCTCCATCGTGTCGAAATAAAACCCTGCAAAGGTACATGAGCACAGCATGCATTATGATTCAACCTGCTGCACCTGGATGTACGTTGGACTTCTTTCGCACCGTACGTATCCAACCGTGTTCATAGGAGGTGCGGGGAAGGACGACGAATAAAACACAAGAAAGCAGTTCTAAAGAAATGAGTCTTCATTTGAGCTACAGCGGCTTCCTGATATTGGAAGAGCGTTCCAGACGGCCGCAGAAGCACACCATGTAACGGCACCTACTACTAACAATGATTGTTACGTCGTCAGTGTTAAAAAACATGACACCCATAATTTCCAGAACATTTAAGACTGTCTCACTCTAAACGACAACTCTGCATTTCATGAAGGCCAGCTCAACTAACGGTCAAGTTTTCTTTCCTTTCTCTTCAGTGACATTCTAATACATTTGTTTTACCCAACATGTTATAAGTCGTTGTGTATTTTCACACAAGCATACATTTTTCACTCCAATATTTGTAACCCGAGTGTGAACAAATGACATGATCACTAAATTTAACACGCGCAATTAAATTTGACTCCACGGAATATATTCCCCAGATGTACAGTATGCACAAATTGACCATTTCTTGAACACGGATAAAATCCTCCCATAATATAACACGCTTTCTCATACCCATAACTAATTACAAAATATAATCCCCATTATTATTTTGTAAATAATAATCAATGCCATCATGTAACTACAGGATTTGGCAACTAATTTGATTGCCGAAATCCCTACAAGCATATAGAATTTGGCATCCCCATAAGCACGTGGAAATATGGGATACAGCTTTTGTTTGGAGAAAAAATGGTCCTTGCATACTGGAACTGTCATCATCTAAGACCGCTTACAAGTAACCAAACACAGCCATTGAATCGGTGTTGTTTCGATTCAGTCCTATATATTTAGAAACTAGAATACAGGAATGGAGGCAGATACAAGTGAAATGGTTACTTTTTCATATATATGTTCCAAGATTCATGTTCAATTATACTGCAGAAGTCTTGTAATTAAATAGTGAAACTTCGATTCGGAAATTGAACAAAGAAAGAACACCCTCTGAAATCACTTCAATAGGCTTCTCTCAGCCAACACTCGTGCCTTATGTATGCAGTAATTTCTAACCAGGATGAGACCATTGACTCTCTTAAGGAACTGATTTCATAATGTGTGGCTTAAACTCAGAGTTTCGCTTTCCACACCCTTTGAAGACTCGAGCAAGGGAGGAGGCAGGGGAAGATGAAGTGGAAGGGCTCAAGCTAATGGAGTGTCAGGGCTCCAGTGTACTACCTGGGTCGGCACACGGCTGTTTCTGGGCCGAAAGAGCTCGATTCTCAAATGGCCGTGAAAATGAGGTATCGCACTCCTAAAGAAGGGGAGCATTTTCGGGGGTGGAGATTTAAAATAGGTAAGAAAGCCCCATTCTTCACTGCATTCCTGCTACTCATAGGGCATAGATGAAATAAAAATAATATAAGACAGAGAAAATAAATAAATTATATTAACAAAAACAGTGACAAATATGACACGTGCGTAAAGGTTGCAGAACCCCTAGCATATACGCTATTTTCTTTATTCCAACATAGACCGTGCGTGCAGCTTGGAGGCAAGCGTGGGAGCAGATAACACAATATGCAGAACGGAACCTTTGTTATTATTTAAAAAAATAAATAAGTCAAGCATGAGTGGCCTGGCACCTCGCCTGCTAAAGCCAAAAAGGAAACAAGCCAACATTCAGACGCCAACAATTCAATGCTATTGGCTAATTTCTGCTGATAAAAAAAATAAAACAACTGGAAAAGGCAAGAGGGACACTTTGTTGGGAGTCTGAACGATTTCACCGTTTTTCTATCACTGTTGAAAAAGTCTGGACACAAAAGCGTGAGCACAACACGGAATGGTCACGTCTATGATTGCGGCTTAATTTACCCCTGTTCACTCCAAGGCAAGGATGGCAGAGAGAAAGATAACGCGGTGTTTGGGAGCAAGCAATCGACACAAAATGAAAGATTTCGCAAAAATGTAATTGGAATCATCGGCGTCACCATAAGTAACATTTGCGTGTTGCTGTGGTAAGGGCACCTGACTCAATTGCAAGGTTGTGAGTTAGGGATTGCATCAGCCTCATATCTTCTTAGGGCTGATAAAATGAGTACCAGTTATTGTGAAGTTCACTATAATTTTACAATATATATAAATTGAGAGTTCTCCATTGTTGGCTTACAAATGCAGATGAATGCCACCACCTTGATCATTGGGGCTCCAGGGCCTACAGGAAAATGCAGTAATTTGTAATTTCATGTTTGTGCAGGGAGATAGACTTTTGTCTATTTATTATGATCTTTAAATGTTGTCTGCTGCTTCCCTCTCAGCCCAAACCGATCATTTTATCGCTTCTATTTTAGTTTATTAGGAGTCATTGTTGAACCGTTTCAAATGGCAATCATATCAAGGCAGCCAGATGAGGTCGGCGTGACAATGTTCCTGCAAAATGAAAAATTTGCTCCTAAAATTTTGCATGCAACCACACACACACAAAAAAGCAGTACGACCTATACGGACAAAGTATCAACGCTCACGAAAGCACAAGACGTCCCCACACCCACAGATAATAATGAGCGCACGACAAAGCTGTCTTAACTTTGCCTGTGTTAACAACCTGCCATGTGGGTTCATGGATTCATGAGGTGGTGGTGGTGGTGGCGAATGGTAGGTGTTAATGTTGGGTTCTTGTTGAGCTTCTTGAATGTTGCCTCGGCCTGCCCCTTGGCACATGCCCCCCCACCCCCCCATCTTGTTTCTACAATTCATTAAAAGTGGTCCTCCACTTTGTTGTTAGGGTGGCTCCTCAATCAACACCACTCGCTCGTGCCCCCGCTCCCCCCTTCCAGAGAGATCACATGTCCACAGCGCTCGATAACTGCAGTGTTAGTACGGCATCTGTTTAATGATTGCGTATGAGTGTGTTCTGTCGTCGCAATGCGGCGCTGATGTTCCCCGCACACATTTTACATTTATCCTGCACAGTGTCCATGCTACAGCCTGTGACCTCAGTGTCGAGAATCTCTGCATTAAAACTTCTCGAAGCCGAATTAATTGTGCGGAGAGCCCTTCTGGTTATAGGGGATATCAGGCAAACTGAAACTACTTTAATACATAACTACCAAAGTTACCATTACATTTACATGTAAGAAACACCTAACATTTAATTTACTAAGAAGCAAAATACATTCTTACAGCCCATCAGAAAATCTCTGCAGCCTTCCACATTCAGTAAACCTAGCCTTTCAATCTCTGGTCCATGGTAATGGAAGTGATTAAGATTAAACAGCACAATAGAGATTGTTGTATCTCTGGTGAAATTGTGAATTTGTATTTGTAAAAATGTAGTTGATCTTACTCAGCGTTAATTAAATGTGTAACATAAATGTGAAAACACGAGTCAGTCCCAGCAGAGCATAGTGCATGACTGAGGCAGTCACCTAATTCCATACAAGGGATAATTAAATATTGACTTAAAGCTTTCGTGACTGCAGAAATTCATATTCTTTGGGTCTTTCGGTAAAGTCACGTAGATAGGTTCAAAGAAGCGATCGAAACGTCGTAGTTTTTATTTATTATTATTATGATATTCTTTGAACCTATCTACGTGACTTTACCGAAAGACCAAAAGAATAACAGATAAGTAAATAGCATTTGAATTGCTCGTGCACATATGCACATCAAATGCATTGTGTACAACAGTCGGGAGGATCGCATCTTTACAATTCCTTGTGATGAATAGAGCGTTGCAGTAGACTGATACGATCGGAATAAGGCACAGCTTAATTAGTATATGAACAGCATTGAGATGGAAGCTTACTTTTAAAAAATTCATGTTATATTTATTTACTTCCGTAACCTCTCCGGGTTGCCCCCAATTATGGCTACTCGGGTTTGCCTTTGAGCTGTTTATGATAGAGCGAGGGCATGGCCGCAATGATCATTGCGTTAATTATCACGCTGTCTGCTCTGTGCCACCCCTCCATCCGTTCGTCTGACCAGACATATATTCTTCGAGAGAGCTACAATAGTTACGAACCAGAAAGCTTCACGTTTCCGAGTTTGCATTCCCGCTTTATTTGAAAACAAGATTACCCAACCCCCCTTCTTGGCAAAGTTGTAACAGTTGTCCATCAGATAGGCAACTGTTACAACCGACTACATATGAGACATATTCTTGGTTCTTTCACATAGAAGGGAAACAATAAAATAATAAAAATATAAAACAATACAATTCTCACGACGTTTCGACGGCAACACAAGCAATCATCATCATGTGCGAAAACCACAGCAAGAAAATTTGAAAAAAGTGGCGTTTTTTTAACGTTAGCACCACGGAGAGCGATTTGGCAGTTATTCAGATGGAGGAGTCCATCTATGTTCGGAAAAGAGGAGGGGGGAGACGAAAATAATGGATGCGGTCTGAAAGCCACCGTAAGCGTGAACAATCAATTAAGACCCGAAATGATTTATCAAATCCTTCCAATGATTGCTAAGCCAGAATCCATCTTCTCGTTTGAAATTGTCTCTGTATTTGTATATGTATATGTGGATAGCCTCATGAACAAATCTTTCATGGTAGCCAGATGGCTTGCAAAGAACCTCTGTCTTGGAGAAGTCAATGTCATGTGAGCCTACTGAATTATAACAGTGATCTGCCACGGCCGAGGTGTTGGTCCTACCGTGTTTTAGGTCTGCTTTGTGTTCACGAATGCGATTCCGAGACATGTCGTTTGGTTTCTCCAATGTAACTACTACCACAGAGGCAACTTAGTTTGTAGATGCCAGGGTACTGTATGTCCGGAATCTCATCTTTTACAGATGGAACCAGATCACGGATTTTATGTAATGTGTTGAACCGGACCTGGATCTTGTGTTTATTCAAGAGATCTTTTTTTGTGATCCCTGCAATGTAGGGTAAAGTGATGGTTTTGAAAGGCTCCTAAAGAGGGT